GTTACAATATATAAAACAAATAATGAATCCAATTGTACAGCAAATGGAGAATCCAAAGGATTCCAATGCAGGCGTCAATGTATATAAAGCCAGAAAGTAAGTCATTGTATTTATTATATAGATTTTGATTGATTTTTAAACTTAAATTGTAATAATTGTCAAATTTAATTTAACTTATGATTTAATGTACATGTAATAAATAGCTGAAATAAAGTGGTAATAAACAGAGAACTTTACTTAAATATTGCGATTCATCGACTAATGCTAAAATTTATATTTGGTCTAACTTTGTTGACTTTAACTTCATCAATTTTATAGTAATCCTATTAAAGTAATAATATTTGTATTGTATTTAATACAAATTTTGTATCAAATAATCAATTTGTGGTAAATATGTTATTAAATCTGTGTTTTATAGCGATTATAGTTTACACAACTATTGAAAGCGCCAACGAATATGATTTAGAGCTTAAAACTTAAGACTCATTAACACGTACAGCATATTTGCCACTCATATAATTTATTATGTGTTTTAATTAACATATTTTTATAGTTAAAATAATAATTATTTTACAGTATATTAATCTTTATGGTAATATTTATTTATATTGTACTTAAATTATATAAACAAAAATGTTATTAATATAATTATGTTAGTTTTCTCATACGTTTGTTTAAAATTTAGTTGTATTATCCAAATACTTCATAACTATTATAATTGAACATGTATGATGTGTGTTTTATGCCAGCACTTAAAAAGCACTTAACAAATTCTACGAAATGTGCATGTTAATCATTAACAACAAATTATTTTTAATATAAATGTGATTTAGTCTCAGAGGCACATAAGGGTCAAATACAGATTACCTTGTTTAGATTTATTACATGTTAGATTTAATGAAATATTAATATAACTGGTGTTATATTTGAGAGACCATTAATGCTGTATAATTATATAATGGCTATATTTGTAGGCATTGTTTGTTCAATTTGATTAAATATCCGTTTATATAATTGAATTGTTTTTATAGTAATGATTGGTTTAGTTTATAATGAATTGTCATCTCATTTACAATACAAAATGGTTCAGCAAAACATTTACTTTCTATTACTTGTCTATACGTAAGTGTCTTCATATACAAGCCTTTGGGTTAATTATATGAAAATTTCTGTTTAAAACACTTAATTTTAATTTCAATAGATTTTGAGAGTAATGGGAAGAGAAGGGGAAATGAGTTTTCAATATCACACGAAATCAATTGTTAAAAATAAATATTAGGCCAAATTCTGTGATTATTTACATCAATCCTTTTTATTAATGTTTGATTAGTGCCTATCCTATAGTATAAAATAAACAATTTTGGGCACAGAATGTAATTTAATATATTTGCAGAGTATTATGGATGGTATCCAATAGTGTCTTCAGTTCAGGTTTAGTGAACTCTTTTTCTCGCAAAATATATCACAAAACGACAGAATATGAGATCAGATTTTCATCGTGTGTTAAACGGATTCTTGTATTGAATACTATATTTAAATGCCATTTATTTGAGAAACTGATGATCAGTTTATGTTTGATGATTGAATTCCTGGCCCTCTAATTGATTGGTTGTTATAAAATATACATTTAGTGAAAGGCTTTTAAATTTAATCTAAAGATAAATAAACAAAACATTTGTGGCTGTTATACTAAACTCAATTTAATGTTGAATTTCAAACATTGAGCTCACAATTGGTTTTTGTTATAAACCAGACATTATTAATAAAGTGTTGGATTATAATAGTTGTGGCAGAAAAGTACCAGAAATTTTTATTGATTAAAATGTACAGCCGGTATGATTTTGATATATTTTTACTCATTTATCAAAAAACATATTTTAATTTTAAATTTAGAAATCGTGGAAAATTTAATCAATATTATTATTAGTATTTATAAGAATAATTAATATTAGTTAACAATTCATAGAAAATCTATCTGAAAAACAAATTTAATAGTTTGTTTGGTTTGTGATATGAAAGTGTGTTTTAAATGCAGCGCTTTTAGCTTTAAATGTATTGATTATCTCTTTGGACGTCAGTTTCCATCAGTTTCTATACTGAAAAGTCATCACAAATGAAAAGTCATCACAAAAAATACAAACAAAATATAAGTAGACTTTTGGTATTCAATAAACAATTTTCGAAATCATAGGCTATTTTGTAGGCATTTATTCTTACAATGAATTTTTTTTCAAAATTAATTTATCTTTATATTTATATTAATTTATTAATTATATAATAAAATATTTAGAATTTAATAATAATTTTACACATAATTGTGATATAATTACAACTAAATTAAAACTATAAGTTGTATAAAATGAGCTCTGATTGGGTCGGCGATGAGATTAGAGCTAATTTATTAAATGACAATCAATTGAAAGATGTGTCCAATTATTTCCGTCCAACTTATAGCCGAAAGTTATGCAAAGTGTTTGTGGGAATCGGTTTGGTATGTGTTGTGGTCGGCGTTGGCATTGGGTTTGGTGTGTATTACGGGCGGAGGTGTGCCGGCAGTTGTCTCGGCTCTTATGAATCTGAGTCCAAGTTAGGGGTGTATAACAAGTATGCGGTCAGTACGGACTCACAGCCCTGCGCTCACATCGGAAAGTGAGTTACAATTGAGTTAAACACTTGTTTTTCAATTGTCAAAAGTTATGACAAATTGTGTGATTACGAAACGATAGGGAGATTCTGGAGGAAAACGGCAACGCTATGGACTCAATGATAGCGGTGTTACTCTGTATGGGTGTTACTATACCCGAGTCCATGGGTTTGGGTGGCGGAGCGCTTATACTCATTTATAACAGTAATTTTGTGACAACTATTTCTATGAATTGTGATTAGGATTGTATCTAAAAATGTTTATATTTTGTTGATTAGCAAAAACAAACAAATCGTTTGCTATAAATGCGAGAGAGAAAGCGCCGGCGGCTGCCTATAAGGATATGTACAAAGACAAGGGTTTCCACAACTCAGTGGACGGCCCGCTGGCCATTGCAGTGCCGGGAGAACTGCACGGCTATTGGCATATGTTTAAAGATCACGGAAGCGGTAATATTAAGTGGTCGCGACTTTTTGAGGGCGCCATTGGTTTGTGTGAAACCGGGTTTGAAGTTAGCGAACACTTGGCCACAGCTTTGGATCAGAAAAAAGATTACATACGAAATCATACGGATTTGAAGGCGATATACATTGACCCAAACACCGGTGATGTCTATAAGAAAGGAAAAACTATGGTTCAAAAGACTTTGGGAAAGACATTGAGGGCTATATCTCAAGCCGAGGATCCCATTAAGTATTACTACGAAGAGTTGTCCAAAATAATTGTTGATGATATTAAGAGAACAGCCAAAGAGTGGGATAATACGGATCCCATTATAACTGTCGACGACTTTAAGGCNTAGAACAAGTGATAAATCAGTCAAAGAATCGGTTCACGCCATCCGTTCAGATGATCAAAAAATGCATCGAAGCTCTGATGGAAAAGCAGTATTTGGAGAGAAATACCAGTAATACAGACGAGTATTCATACATTGCATGAGTTTCCCCATAGACTAACCATTAATATAATTATAAATACTATTAGTTTTAAAGAATAAGAACTAAATTATTTAATTATTTCCAAAATGTTTTTTGTTTTTCTCTATTCTCTATAATAAATAAGTTTTTTAATGATTTTATGGTGTTCTCCAAGAATATGAGTTTTTGTTATTTCATTTGAAATGAATTGATTCGTGAATTAATTGATTGAAAGGTTTTTTGGATGTCTTATATGTATGAATAGTATATATAAATATATTTAAATTAATTATATATATAGAAACCGAATCGATGTTTTTATATACGAATGCTGTATAATATTCAGTGTTTCTCTTGGATTGGATGTTAAAGTTATTCATTCAATGAATTAATTATAACATATGAATACAAATTGTATATAAATTATACTGTAAATCATCTTTTCTTTTGTATGACATTATTGTTATTAAAACCAAAACATTTAAATCTCGACATTAATTGTTTTCGTATAAAATATTATTTATTTAATTACATTTAAAATTAATTTGAGTTGAGTTTATAGAATAATACCAATAAATGACAATAACATGGCTTATAGTCCGTCAACTGTTCCGCCTTTTCTATAATCATAATTGGCGTATAGTTTGCCGTTTTCTCGGGTGACGGCCAGAATGATGACCCTTTGTACTCATTGGTCAACCTCTTCAGTGAATGTTTGTTTACAACGGTTTATGCTTTTGGATACATAACGGGAAACCTTTGCATCACATTCATTATGAATCCCAATATATCAGAGGACTGTCTTCGAGAGTGATGTGGACATCATTTTTAGCGACTCCTGTAATAAAATAATTGACAGCTAATTCTTGAACAGAATTATCATAAAGTGTTTAAACATTCGGACCATTGAATGCCAACATATCGGCAAAGAATGTGAAGAACATATTCCCGAAGTGTTGCGACACTTTGAGACAATTGTCAACACATCCGTCAAAACTGTTGCTTATTTATGCAAATATTGGGATTAAAGATCTTAATGAGTATATGTTTTAATTAATAATTAATTTTTCGTGGATTTGTTGTCAAGAAGTCCTAAACTGAAGAGCAATGAAGTCATTGGAAATTTAATCCCAAAATACTTTTACAGCAAAAATTGTGTAAATATTTACGAATAAATAATTTTTACAAATAAAAAAGTTATAATTGATGTGAAAAGCATTTGTTTAAATATTGATTTTTAAAATTTATTATAATCGATTTATTACTAGATTTAAATTAAAAGTGTTAAGTTATTAAAGTAACTAAATAATTATTTATTATGAAAATAATAGTTTGCATATTCTTTATAATAAATATATTTTATTTACTCCAAGAATATATCGATTCAGTCTTTATTGTAATGTTTATCACTTGAAATGTATTGTGAATTAATTGTGATATAAATTTATTGTACATTTGAAAACAAATTGTATATAAAATATAATGCAAATCATTTTCTCTTTTGTATGACATTATTGTTATAATAAACCAAAACATTTTGATTTAATTTCAAATTTAGTGTAAATATGACTTTAATTTATTTGTGAGTGAAATGAATATTTCTATGGATTAATAAGCAAAATAAATAGACCACTGATTTAATGGCATAAAAACACAAAATATAAACAAATATTATAATAATTTCTTGTCTAACAATTAACAATCGCTTTGAACTAAATTAACAGAATAACAATACTTAACACAAATAACTACATCTACGACAACCAGTGGTTAGAGTCCGTCAACTGTTCCGCCTTTTCTATAGTCAGAATTGGCGTATAGTTTGCCGTTTTCACGGCTGATGGCCATAATGATAGCCCCTCTGTCGCCGTCGGCCAACCTCTTCAGCGAATGTCTCTTATTCTCCAAACGCGTCAACACGTGTTGCGGAAAAGTTTTCTCGTATACTATTTGGTCGGCAAACAACTGGTGGTGAACTCGCGGCCCATCGATCGCCTCTTTAATCGTTTCGCCGAACCATAAGTTCCTCATCGAGACGGAGGCCACGGCTGTCGTTATCTTTGGTCCACCGCTTCCTCCGATGACAAGTCGTAAGCCTTTTAAATAAAAAAATTGTGTCAATAAACAGACAAAAACACATATTTAACAGCAAGTCTTGCAAACAATTCAAACAACTTAATTGAACATATAATAAATCACAAAATTAATACCATTATTGTCTGTGAATACTGTGGGACACATGGATGAGAGGGGTCGTCGACCCGGTGTTACAAAGTTTGAATCGGATGCTCGGATACCAAAATCATTGGTCGCCAGAGTATTGAAGTCATCCATTTGGTTGTTCAATAAGATTCCTGTCGTCGAAGACAACACTTTTGAACCAAAACTTCATTGAAATATATAAACAATTAAATTAAATATTTCACGGATTCTTAAAATTTTAAAACTAACTATGAGTTAACAGTTGTGGTGACGGCCACTGCGTTGCCAAACGAGTCGACCACTGATGCGTGAGCTGTTCCGTGATCTTCAGACATAAATACCTGTCAATAGAAATGAATTTACTATCAAATTGTAAGACAATTTTAATCAACACTTACCGGTGTCTTATCGTAATGATCGGAATCACTGGGAAAAGTCTTCGAGTCATCGATGGTTTGCATGACTTTGTCTGCGAATGCATTGGATCTGAGTTTGTTGAGCACATCCTTCACTTTCTCAGTCTCGCTGTCCTCTAAATGCGATCGTTTGGCGAACGCATACTTATAGGTCTCTATCAGTCGGTGATAGAAAAGTGCGGATTTGTCCACAAAATCCGATGCTTTTGGATACATATCGGGAAACCTTTGCATCACATTCATTATGAATCCCAATATATCACCACTTCCTGTCGTTTCGGCAACAGATATAACAAAATTGTTTCAATTATTTGATATATAAGAAATTAATTATCAAAATCATATACCGGGCAATGGAAATGAATGGAGAGTAATGTTCTCTTCTTTGTTGGTGACGGTGAACGTCGCGAGAACTGCTTCAGTGATAATCGGTTGATACGCCTTAAAGTCGTCGACAGTTATAATGGGATCCGTATTATCCCACTCTTTGGCTGTTCTCTTAATATCATCAACAATTATTTTGGACAACTCTTCGTAGTAATACTTAATGGGATCCTCGGCTTGAG